GGCAGGAGAGGGGAGTGTGTGGTGCTTGCGGAACACCTGTGTGGGTGCAATGTCAAAACTGCTGAACTGCACTCTGTTCTCATCTCTACATCTGAATATAATACAAACAATGAAGTATCTTAAAACTGAGCTCATAATGTTTTATGAACACAATGAATTAAGCTTACACTTTCATGCAAGGTCCTTCCATTACATTTTGCAACCTGAAGAGAGGGACAAGATGGTGTTTCTTCCCATTCCATGTTCAAAAGCCACTTGAAGTTGCTACTGTACCTTATTTTAATATTGGTGTTTGAATAGCACTCTCTGCTGCATCCACAGGCAGCAGACTAGCTTGGGGTCTCAGGGCAGAGTGAATAGGGAACACAACTTCCAACACTGGTACACTGCTCCTTTGCATCAGTCACTTGAGACAGCTACTTCACTTTCTCCTACAGTATAGCGGGCCCTCAACTATCTAAAGTAATAATTTGAAAAATGGCAAAAATGTGACCTTTTAGGTAAAGCATGCCAAAAGGACAACAGAGAGGTGCGGAAAGCAATTCATAATTGGCAACTAAGAAGGCCCAATCAGGACTCCATCAAATGTACCTTCAAGGTGGTGGGACTGAGAGGAGGGCCTCCCTGAAAGATCTTAAGATGCAAAAGAAGGGATCCTTCCACCTAAGATAAAAGAAAACTTCCAAAGTCTTGACACATACTGATTTTTTGATACATTTCCTTCAGTTCCATTTCAGTGAATCTCCAATGAATAACATACCACTGGCTTAAGAATCAATGCATCATTTTAACCCTAGTTTAGATTCTGTTTAAAAGAGACTCATGTCAACAAATCCTTACCCTTTTTATACTGTCCTCTTGCAACCTGTTTTAAAGTCTAAAACTTACTGGAGAAAATAAATAAACAAACAAATTTACCTTGTATTCCAATCTTTGATACCTCTCATTAAGGCTTCACATTCTGGTGCTTCAAACCTACGTATAACTACTGTTACCAGGAGAAGATAGGAAAGTGGCAAGTGGGTAACACATGTAGAATTTGTGAACAAGGATATGGGTATCTGATTTAAGTGAGTAATTTCCAATGCATTAATAACATAAAAATTCACTGTGATCCTCAAGTGCCACTAACACAGAGGCTGCTGTTGTGTCTCCATATGATTTGCTGCTGTGCCCTTATCTTCCTCCACTTCACCTCTCTGTGGGCTATATGTGGGAATGAACAACTCTGTTTCATCCCTTCAACAGGTGGTTACTGGTTCATTCAACATCTCCTATCATAAAGAGGAGCAGTCCCTTCCAGCTCTGCAGTTCTAAGGTTATTAATATTAATTAGCTGCTCAGAGTGTTATTGATGATTCTAAACAGGAACCACACGGAGAACTGTTATATTTGATAGCAGCAAAACAGACAGATTCCTGGAGAGTGGGTATTTCTTAAACAACGGTCAAAATCCTCTTGCACAACTATGCAAAAGAAATAAATTTCAGAGGCAAATTGCCTCAAATGAAGAAATTTCTATTGACATTATCTGTTGCACGCTGAATTGTGTTACTCAGTATACAACACATCGCATCTACGGAGATAACTCGAGACAATTTGCTTCTAAAAGCACCAGCATTAGGGAAGAGGATTTTGGCCTCAGTAAAGATAAACTTTTTGGAGTATGTAAGGGTAACATACCTCTGTTACATATTTCCCTTATAGACAACTACACAAATGTACCTAAACTATGCATGAACTGTCATAATTAAGGAGAAATTAGAAAACAATTGGGTCTCAAAATTTCGGCAATGGCAGAAGTCTGTGACCCTAGGGGGTTGGTGCGGGGAATGAAACTGGCCCCCAAACCTACTGAATCTGTCTACTTCTGCATTAAGGAAACAGCTTGGAAACTTCATATGGCAAGAACAAGAACAGTAAATAGAATTAACATAGAGTAAAAATATCACTGACTATATGGGGAATACCGGCTCTGAGGAAACTATGGTTTCTATGCCTCCATGTCAAAGTTAGAAAAATTTAGTCATGTGAATTTTCCACATTATATGCAAGGAACTATTCCTTCCTACAAAAAATTAAGGGTGCTGCATCTTTACTCTAGCCATATGCATTTCTGACCTATGGGATCAACAGCATGACATATTCCAGTTAATACTATAATCAGGACTAGGTGTGAGCGATGTACAAAAATGTAGACTATTAAACATTTGAGGTTCAGTAGAAACATTGTATCACAATACAGTGGTGCCTCGCTTAACGGGCGCTCCGTTTAGGAACGAAATCGCTTAGCGATGACTTTTTCGGAGCATTTTTGCACTTCGTTTAGCGATGGTCCCTATGGGTGATTTTCGCTTAGCGATGGTTGGGACCATGCTTCGCATAGCGATTAGATTTGGAGTCCCCTGTTTCGCTTAACGATGGTTTAAACAGCCTCATGTTTGCTGTTTTTTAAATGTTTTTCTGTTATTTATAAAGTTAAAGTTTACTGTTTAAAATGTTTGAAATCATAAAGTGCACTTAATAAACCCTTTGTTAACCAAATTAGACTTGTTCTGACTCTTTTTTAATTTGGTGTTTTATTTTTTCCCCCATCGAGATGCATTGAATAGGTTTAATGTATTTCAATTGGGGAACCGCGTTTCGCTTAGTGATGTTTCCTATGCCGATTTTCGCTTAAAAACGGCAATTCGTTCCTATTGGAACGGATTATCCGGTTTTCAATGCATTTCAATGGGAAACCGTGTTTCGCTTAGCGATGAAATTGCTTAGCAGTGATTTTTTCGGAACGAATTAACATTGCTAAGCGAGACACCACTATACTATTCTTCTCATACTCAACCTGCCATAAACAAACAAAGTGCCCCCAGCTGAGGAAGTCTGAAAACTAAGCACCTCCCTGCAGCAATCAAATAGATTGTTGAGAATCATGAAATAAAACTACAGATGCAGGAAACTCATCAAATTACAGTGACAAAGGAATCAAGTTAAAGATTTACAAAAATGGGTGTGGGTGCAACAAGGAGGGCTAGGATGCCTGGAACAAAACAGGCAATTAGGCTTTTATATAATGAAATTAAACAAATACTGAGACAACACAAGCAGACCTTCTACAGCTGTAATTTCTAAGGGAAATCGAATACGCCACACACAAAACCCACACATAGTGAGGCTTGTGAGAAGGTACACATTTCAGTGGACAAAGTGCTGTCTTTCCCAATGGTCAAAGGTGCACACTATTATCTTACATCTTAATCTCAACTACTTAACCTTAACTACTGATCATCCGTCAAGTACACAGTCATCCAGATTCCTCCACAAAGAGGTAAGAGGAATGAAAGAGTATCATTTATAACCTTAAATCAGCATTTAACCCTGACTTCTTCACTAAATGAGATTTTCCCTTGGGGTATTTCAAATACAATCTGGGACAAACAATTAAGTTATGGACATTATGCACAACAAGCTGAAACTTTGATGAGGCAATGCACCAGTTTCCCAGTTGAAGGAATACGGAGACAAGCTCCCACAGAATCAAAAGGTTCAGAACAGACAGTTTAGTCAATCCTGACACAGAGCAAAAGGCTGACTGTAAGAAAGGAGCCAGGTGCACAGATAAAATTACATTCACCAATAAAACTCACAAAGGTCACATTTTGCCATAACTCATTCTCTCCTTTGCAGCCATTTTGCCTGTCACAGGGGAAGAAATAGAAGGAGGAAAAATAAGATGTGTTTGTCTGGGAGCCCTGAGGGCTGCTGTACTGGAGGTGTATGGCAGGTTGCTGAATTCTCATTTATCAGCCTTAAAAAAGATGGAGTGATAAATGCATAACCGGCCCTTTAATATTTTATGCAGGTACTAAAGTGACTTAGCTGTCAACTTCCATACATCACCAGCAGCAGATAAACCAGCTTCCGTCACTCCAAACTGGAAATTTTTACGATTTCATTCTCAACTTTCATTTTTTTAAAATATGAACAGAATCAATGAAACTGATTGGTTTGTGGATGCTCCTGTTTTCTTCAACTTTGGACAATATCCTTCTTGATCTATTTTCATTCATAAGTCCTACAATCCTATCCCGTTTTCATTGGAAAATAAATTTCGTTTCTGGCAGAAAAATCAACTTCCCAATTGCCATAAAAGGTAAGCAACTTGTCCATCATACAGTTTAGTAAAAATAAGGAAACACTTTGTCCCCAGATCTAAACTAGCCAGGAGCATCAAAGAGACTCCTCTTAAAGAATCTAATATTATTATTTATTTGATTAGTCATTTTGACCATATTAAAAAGTGTACAAATCACACAGATCCAAAATAAACAGCTAAAATGAGATAAAATACATTTCAATAGTAAAATATAAAACAACATGTACATATTTTAATTGAGTGAGTCACCCCTGCAGGGAACCTCTATTTGATCAATGTAATGAGATCTTATACCCGTAGTCTTAGATATAAATTTCGCTATACTGCGGACAACTTTCGTATTAGCACTCTGAAGAAAATACAAAAGTCTAAAAAAAAAAAAAGAATCTAATAGATAAGAGTTAAAAGGGAAATTTATAGGAGCAATTATGCTGCCTTTATTTTTTAAGATGCGATTATTTTTGTGCACATATATTCTGGTATGAAATGCACTGGTAACAGACAAACAGTTATGGATGCATAACGAAGATCAATACTGTGAAAAACACTAATTCTTTAGACGGTTCTTTATCCAAGTTTCTTTGAGAATATACCATATATGCCAAGCTGCTTTGAGGATCCTCACCACTCAACTTGAGGAAATGCATGTGTAGGTCATTCTAAAAAGATATGCATGGAAGTGATCTGCAAACAATTTATTTATGTGGACAAAACTACAGGAGGACACAGGCCTTATCCTCCAGAGGAAAAAATTAGTTCCTAAAATTAACACAGCATATTCTTGAGCCCCAAGTAACAAGAGAGAGCCATAACCCATCTCACCAAGCCCTTGTAATGCTCCTCTTACCTCTGAATCCCCCTTCCAAGAGGGTGGTGGCACGTATCCTCTTATGTCCACACCACTCGTATTCTTCAAAGCGATTACCATTCTCATTCTCAACGTCAACAGAGTCATCCTCCATCATGCAGGAACCTTCCCTCTGGGCAGACAAAGAAAATAAAGCATTGAACATCATTATCTGAAAGAAACAACAGTAGGTAGTACTTCTACCGATGGAAACTATACAGACACAGCTAAATAACGGAGGAAGTAGCAGGGATATGCCGGTACAGAGCATCTGCAAAACTGAATGCAAATTCAGATAAAACAATGACTGATATTCATCATTTATTTAGGAATACCAGTTTAATATTAGGAGAAAAGCTGAGCAAAAGTGAGCAGTTCAGTCAAGTGGAACTGACTGTGACATGTTATTTAAGGGCAGCCACTGAATTCATGGCCAAAGCAGTACTTGAGTTTAGGTGTTCCTGGCCTATCCTCAGTATTTCATTTTCTGATAAAAAGCTGTACTGTAAAACAAAAGTCCTCCATACAGAGCACATTACCATAGTCTCTCGAGACTAAAGGGTGCCTATGATGAGAACAAAAGTTAACAAAATTCTTTCAGTGTACCTCTCTGCTATTGTGGGTGTTATCTGTCAAATTTAGAAAGTATTGAAACAAAGCAAAACCAAAAGGTTAGAAAAATTGTAAAGTACGGAAACACTGATGCCACTGAAGAATGATTCTTTAGCAAAGCTTGCATGCAGTCCAACTACCCTACTATTTACATATGTACCCTTCTAATCCTCTGTATATTGAATAATATGCCTAATAATGGAAATAAGAAATTTTCTATTTCAGGGATGTTGTATATTAATTACAGTTTGATGCTGATCTTGAAGCTTCTGATCAACTTAGCTACAGGCAATTGCTGTCAAGCTATCCGTGTGTCGTAACTGCTAAAAACAGCAGGCTCTGGTCAGCTATATCACTTTGTCATCAGATGCAACATGATTAGTATGCACTTTATCAAGTACGCACTCTACAACCTATCGAGTCTTTTCTATTCTATAAGAAAATAAGAACTAAAGTGCAATTGTCTCCAAACAAACTATATTGCCAGAGTGCTCCCAGTCACCTTCTTTTAAAATGGGAGATTAGGCATTTTGATAAATAATAAACATCTGATGTCAACAGATTTTATCAGAAGTTAGGAAATTGCTGTCATGTACTTGCCTAATTCCAATCCACTGTTTCAGCTGGGTTTTGCTGTATCATGGTTAAACCAATGACTAGCAGGAGGGGGAAAGTCTTCTCTCTAAGAGCCAAAAATAGTCACCGAGTCTGCTCTGCCTTTTCTTTTGAAAAGTTAGAAAGATTTATTCTTGCTACACTAGAAAAGTCACTGAAACCTTTAAGACAGAAATCAGAGACAATGCTGAATAACAGCACTCAAGGCTGAGGTCTTCAGTCTGAAAACTTGGTTTTTACCAGTCCACCAAGAGAAGCAGGCACAGCAGAAGGTAGGAAGGTAGGAAGAAAGAAGTGAAAGGCAGCACAGATCCTTTAGTGCTTCTACCTTTGCAAGGCACTGTTCGACATGCCCACTCCTCTCCTCCTTGGATCCTGAGAGAGGCTGGCTGCAGAGGGGACATACCTGTCCTTCATCTTGCTTCCTTCGTTTCATTTTCCCAATTCGAGCTGTGCAAGGAAAGCATAGAGAAAAGAAACAAGAATGTTTTACATAGACATGATGCCTCAAGACAGATCTTGCTGTCTTCTCTATCCTCTCTTACTAGCATCCCCTCTGTTTCTTGCAAGTGTGAAAAATGTTTGATCATTTGTCTAATTAGGAAGGCAACTGCCTATGTGTCCAAGTTTTATCTCAACTACTTCAGAATCTTTAACACATTTAACCAAATTGCTGTCTGTGAACTATATTAGTCTAGCCATCCCATGGCACTTAAGTCAAACAAAGATTAAGCACTTTTCCCTCAATGGGACATGGCTGGCTCCATTATTCTTAGAACACATCTCCTCCTTTGGGAAAGGCAAGAAAAAATAGTTTTCCACTTATGTTGTTTCTACTGCAAATGTCAAATATTCTTTATGGGGTGCAGGATTCTAGTTATGTCTTTCTCCTGTCGGACCCACCCTGGGGAAAGATACATACACACATACACCTCTCCAGGTCCTAGTTTATTTTATTTTATTTTAGAATAACTTGACCAAAAAAAAGCTGGTGTAAGATAAGGTGCCAAAAACATCTTTGTTGCAGATTAACATGTTTACCTGAAACTTGTTCTAAGAGAAGTTGCCCATTAATATACAAGCACAATCCCTGGATCTTTGTAATCTGAATAGCTATAATTACAGAGTAAAACAGGGTTTTTCTCAACTCATTTGTATAAATTTTGTGCAATTATGAAAAACTTTATCTTTCTTTAAATATTCCAAAAGGAGTTAAAATACATGTGAGATAGTGAGTATTCAGTTCCATCTCCTACACTCTCCACAAGTGAGAGTAACAATTTGAAGAGGAATGTCTTCTGACCCTGATGTTTCATATGTCAGTGAATATCCGATATTTCTGAAATAAAGGGAAGAAATCACAGATATGTGCAAGGGCTTCTAAATATTCAGTAATTTGAGGAATACTACAACAGGCTCAGAATATTTAGAAGATTTCATGTTGCATACCCCTAATAGCTCCTCTACCTCTGCTGGTAATCCCTGTTCACTCCTAGAATTCTAGATTTAATTCCTTATTCTTCCGAGCTTTCAGAAACGCAGAATATGCACCACTTATTTCATTCACCCATATGAAATTTAAAACTTTGGATACGTTTGTGTATACATGCATTCCCACTCCCCATGACTGTAGACACATGCAAGGGAAAGAAGATTTTATCCAGCTTACTGCTTAACATAAATAACCATTAATGGGGCAGAACATCCAGAAGATTTGCATTACACAACAAGATCAGTTGTTAAGATGGATGGATTTAGGAAAATATCATCAGACATTTCAATCACAGATAGGGAAACGAACAACTAAAATAATAAGTAAGGTCAAAACTGATGTGAAGTAAAGAAAGAGAGCAAGGAAATTATTTCTGGAAACAAGAGATGACACAGCAGAGAAGTCTTTTAATGAAGTAACAATTATTGACACAATGAATCTCACTATGTGCTGGAAAAATTGTAATACATTACAACAACTTTTCTGAAACAACAAAATATTGCACTCTGTATATGAAAAAAGGACTTTATAACATTAAGAGAGGCTGCAAACTATAATCAATACAGATACAGGAAAAGGAAAAGCTGTTAGCAGACCAATGTTGGCCCAATAAAGATATCAACTTTCCTATTCCGCCTCTTTCACTGGAGAAAACATTTGATCAAACTCAAGCGCTTCCGGCTGAAAATATAGAATAGGCCATTGATCATACACAGGAAAAAACGCACACTTCCCAAGTCACTTGATTCAGTCTCTCAACCTCTTGCCCTCTTACTCATCTCCTCCCTTCCACATCTTAACAGTACAGGAAGGAGCTACACTCTGCCTGGGAATCTCCCTCCTTGCCCCCACCATCTATACACCTTTCACTGGAAAACTGTCTCCAGCCGAGGAGAGAGATTGCTCAACATACAGCCTTGAGAACACTGTGTCCTGGATGCGACACACAAGCATTTTGCCTCACTTTTCTACAAATGGAGGAGAAAGCATGTTTCATGCACTTATCTCACAAATGTAGCTCCATCGTAAACAAATCTGTTATTAACAGTGTTTCTGCACAGTCATTTTTACAAGGAGAATGAGAGATCCAACATGTTAAATAGCAGATGAAGCTCCCTCAGTAAGGTGACTCTTAATCAAAAAACTTTTTATAAAATGAAACAAGAGTTTTGAAAATATTAAACAAAAGCTTGAAAAAGCTACTTTTTGGATTACAAGCCTGAGAATGCCAAAAGTCCAAAAATGTTTTTTTATTTTATTTTATGTGAAAGCTTTTTTTCACTCATCTAGGCTGCTCCATCAAATCAACACTATGGCACATGAACAACTATCAAGTGTAGAGTCAAAGAGACTTTCTTCTCATATCCACCTGGCTCACATGTAGGTTTTCTTGCCATTCATTGGAATACAAAGCATGGCTTCAACCATATGCAACTTAAAAATATCTCTCACTGTCACCAGTGAGTACTGGGGTAACACTCCTGGTTGACTCCTAGTGGCATGATTTTAAAATACTGTATTGTTTGCTGTAAATGCTATGACATCACGTAACTTGCATCAAAGGCAGAGATAAAGATAATCAACACAGAATTTATGAAGCAGTCTGCATGAACTGAAGGCCAAGATATACTTCTGTAGTGTCTACTTAATGAAAAACTTAGCATGTTATTCTTTTTATATATATACAGTGCGTTGCCATGACCTACACAGTATTAATGTGAAGGATTTGATTTTGTGCCTGGGTTACGGGATTTTCAGTGCCATCCAGAAAATACAAGGACCTTATTATTATGCACTCTCAGTAACTGAATCAACCTTGAAGACCTACAAGAGGTCTGGTAAATAAAAATGCTCTTTGCCCACAGTATTAGATCAGCATGAATGAAACAGTAAATACAGTGAGGAAGAACTTTTAAAAGTTTGTATTCCATTATCTTTTGCAGTAGCCCAATACTGGATCTCAAGCACAAGAGAGAAGAATCAGGACTGTTTCAAAGCCACTGTGAGCAGAATTTCCAATGGCTGCTACAGAGCTCAACTATCACTTCTAATCAACGTAGGAGGGATGGAGCAGCCCCAGAGGAAAGGGGGTGACTGCTGAGCTGTCCCGAAGGAGAACGGCTCAAAAGAACACACAAGTGAGACCACAGTATTGTTAATTAGTGCTGATAGATGCAATCATTTCTAATTAGCTCACTAATCCTTCTCCTCTGTACTTCTGTGACAGAAGTAGAGGGGGAGGTGGGCTGGCTTGATTCTTCTGTACCCTCAAGTCAAAGATTTTGTTTTTTGTTTTTTAAATCTGAATAAAGCAGCAAGAAAAGAGACTTCCACTTAAACATCTCTGATTGCTGGTCTTTTTTCCCCCGTATTCCCGTAACAAAGCTTATTTATTCTACCTCTCAACCAGAGATGCAAGGAGGTCACTCACTTTCATTAATACTACAATAATAATTATATCACTGGAGGGACTCATTGCACCAAGGTGTCCTTAATGTCAAGCAATCTTTCTCATCAAACTTTCATCTTCATTACAACCATTGTCCATTTTTACTATACCAACTCTGGAGCAAATAGGCAGGGTTCTAATCTTGCTGAGTCCCTGTGTCTTTTCCTTAGGTTTTGCATATTCTGCCTTGTTTCCCATGGCTCTGTGCCTTGGTAAACCTTCTTATACATAAGCATACAAATGATTTCTCAAAGTCTCCCAAAGACATGAACACTACATCTATCAAAGTAGCTAGAAACCTTGGAATTCATCTGCATCTTCCTGCCATACATAACTTGTATATCCTGGATCCATCTTGTCTGTTACTCCTACACTGAAAATCTGACCTCACATTCTGCATTCCACTTATCATGAATACTATCCACAGCAGGAGAGATCTGTGGCCCGGTACCAGTCTGTGGCCTTGGCAGGACCAGGCCGCAGAGACAGATCTTGTGCGTCCCACACACATGCACATACCCCCATGCACGCACACACCCCTACGCACACATGCATGGAGGCATGCCCCCCATGCACGCACAGATGTACTCCCGCACGCATACACACACGCACAGATGCCCCCCCCAGTCAAACCAATCCTTGATGTCAAAAAGTTTGGGGACCACTGATGTAGAGGGAAGACCCAGTATGTGTCCCTTTTCTTCTGCTAAGCTTGTTTTTTCTTGCCCTCTGTTCTTCCTACAATTCCTGGCTGGTGCCACATCCACTTGCTCCTGCTGAATCCCCAAACCTGCAATGTTTCTAACCTGGTAACAACTGTTTGCCCAACATTATTACTTCAAGTCCAAACCAATCTGTTTGTTCTAGTTCCCTGAACTTCTCAAGAACTCATTGATGTATGAGCACTTTGTTTGGTGTGAATTTGGAAACAACCTACATAACTATAACCTCCCAAATAAACTAATGGCTCAATATGCCATTTACACACTGTCAAACTCTATAGTCTACTTTTTCCCTTAAAATTAATAAAATACTATTAAAGTTAATCACTCACTATGCAATGTATGTAAAAATGCATATTTTATAAAACACAGACAAATTTTCATGTGGATTACCCATGACTGTGGGAAAAATAACACAATGCTTACGAATGAACATATGAAACTGACAGGGAGGGAGATAGGAATTTCCTGAGGTGAAATATGGATTTCTACTAATAGAACCATTTTGTTTGAGGGACGAAGGAGGGACACGAAAGGAATATCATGCTCATACAATGAACACAAGGCGAAGCTTAGTAATCTACCAACTTGAATGAGACCTCTGCTTACACAGAGCCTGCAGTGGAGAAGGTCTCAGATAGCTGAGGTTAACAGGTTACAATGTGTACATTAGCAGAATTCTTAAGATCAAACTACATGGTGTTTTGTTCAACAGGACTCTACTGCTGTGTTTCTTCTAACACACACATTTCTATCTACCAATTCTTTCTGACTCTTAGCAACTCGACATGTTACCTTGAACACATTATTAGTCTTGCAAAGCTGTTTTATTCATAAGAAAGAAAAAATATATAAATATTACCATATAGGGATAGAAACAGTCATAATCCACTACCTAGCAGCAGTGACAAAAATGCGAACAAAACATCCCTCACATATTTGTTCTGCCTATTTCTGTAAATCAACTCATTCTATAAACTTCTTTGTCAATTCACTCCATGATCATTCTAATCTTAGTTTCCTGCAACGACATTTCTCTTATCTCATTTCACTGTGTTCTACTACTGTGGATTAAAGTTCACTTCTATTTTTACAGCTGCTTTTGCTGCTCTACCCTACTCTTCTCTGAAAACCATTAAAAAGGTAAAGGTTCCCCTTGACAATTTTTGTCCAGTCGTGTTCGACTCTAGGGGGCGGTGCTCATCCCCGTTTCCAAGCCATAGAGCCAGCGTTTGTCCGAAGACAATCTTCCGTGGTCACATGGCCAGTGCGACTTAGACAAGGAACGTCGTTACGTTCCCACCGAGGTGGCCCCTATTGATCTACTTGCATTTGCATGCTTTCGAACCGCTAGGTTGGCAGGAGCTGGGACAAGCGACGGGCGCTCACTCCGTCGCGTGGATTCGATCTTACGACTGCTTGGTCTTCTGACCCTGCAGCACAGGCTTCTGTGGTTTAGCCCACAGCGCCACCACGTCCCTCTGAAAACCATTACCTGCTAGAATTCTCTCAACAATCGTCAAAATACTTAATGCTGCACAAGAAATACTAAATAATTTTTCAGCAAGTCCTCACAAATTTAGAGAGTGCTACTTTTGTCCTCTGAAGATGCCGGCCGCAGAAACTGGTGAAACGTTAGGAAGAACAACCTTCAGAACACAGCCAAAGAGCCCGAAAAACCCACAACAACCATTAGATCCCAGCCGTGAAAGCCTTCGCGAATACATCCTCACAAAAGATTATCAATAACAACAAAAAAGAGAAAACATTTGGGGAAAGGCAGACTTACTCAGTACTGTGAGGGTTCCAAAGAAACAACCAATGAGATTTTTAAAAATAAATAAAAATAAAACAGTAAATGATTCACAAAAGCACAAAGTAAGTCAGAAAGGAAGTTTAGCATATAAAGTATAATGATTTCAGCCAGTTACATTGGGGAGGAGGGGGAAAGGATTTTATTTCTGTTTATGGACTAGGAAATATCTAAAACTACCCCCACCAAAAAAAGATGAACAAAAAGTACAAGAGTTCATTAAGTTTATAGCACAGGCTGTTAAGAGCTGTCATGCAAGGTCTGACTAAACAATATCAATAAGACTTCAAGGAAAATCTATCAACATAACCTCCATTCATGTCTATGCTCCCACTAAAGATCTGAAGGGAGGTCCAGAAGGAAAGAAGAATGCTGAAGGAAGGTCCAGAAGGAAAGAACGAGGAACAGAGCCTTCTCGGCAGTGGCCCCTCACCTTTGGAATAACTTGCCAATCGAGATCTGCCTGGCTCCCTCTCTAGGTGTTTTCAGGAATAAACTTAAAACCTGGCTATTTGTGCAGGCTTTTCCTCCTGCCATATCTTAATTACTTATACTTCGCCATCTTGGACTTATATGTTTTTGGTTTTATTAGTTTTAAATTTGTAAACCGCCCAGAGTAGACCCTTGGTCTAGATGGGTGGATAGAAATCTAATGAATGAATGAATGAATGAATGAATGAATGAATGAATGAATGAAAGAATCTTTTTTTGCATATATCCAAGTTGAAACATCACATAGCAAAACAAGATATACTGATAATCACTGGTGACTTGAATGCAAAATTAGGACATAAAGCAGAACCAAATTTTGCTGCAGAATATGGCCTAGAAATCAGAAATGAAGCAGGAGTGGCTCACAGACAACCTGTTCTTGTTGCAAATAAATGCTTCCAGTAACCAAACAAATTGACCATACATACAGACATCACCAGCCAATATAGAAATCAAATAGTCTATATTAATAGTTCCCAACCTTGAGCAACCCAGGTGTTCACGGGCTGCAACTCCAAGAAGCCTTCATCATTAGCTGTGCTGGCCACGGTTTCTGGGAGCTGCAGTCCAAGAACACCTGGGTTATCTAGAGTTGGAAGCCACTGGAGTACATAATTGGAAGTAGGAGAAGCTGTATTATCTCTGCCAAAACAGATTGTGGTACTGATATCAAATTGTTTCTACCAAAAATTCAAACAAAGTTGAGAAAAACACACTAAAAGAATTCTAGTGACAAAATATAATTTAAATAATATATCTGATCAAGTTCCAGCACTATACTCAACTGACTATGAACTCGAAGAACTGTGGATTGAAATCAGAGATATTATCAGGAAAGAATGCAAAAAGAATGCAATTCTGTTAGCTAAAAGACAAGAAAACCTAGATGGATGACGGAAACAAAACACTAAGTGTTAAGGTCAGATGAAAAGCAAAAAAGAGAGTCAAAATTCCGAATGCAATTTTTCAGCTACCATCACCTAAAGACAAAGTGAACCATTGCAATAATCAGTGGAGAGAAACAAAAGAGAACTACAAAAGGAGTAAAAGGAGATCTCTTTCATAAGATCCCAGAAGTCAAAGGGAAATTTAAGATCAAGAGGAAGAAGAAAATTCAACTATTAAGATCAACTATTTGACCGGGGAAAGAAATAGAAGGTGGAAAAATATGTTTATTATATAGAAGAGATGCTAAGATGAATGATTCCTCTGAAGAATTATGTGAGGAAGAACTTAGAATTTTACAAAGTGAAGTTAAAGCTGCTTTCAAAGCATTTGGAAGAAATAAATCAGCAGGAGCAGATGGGATACCAATAGAATATACTGTTCCCCTAGAAAGGAGTTGTCAAGTACTGCAGTAACTATATGCCAGAATCATCAACATAATTGTTATTTCCAGTTATTATGTACAGATGTAAAAACTGGACAGTGAAGACATATTTACTATTACATACGCTGTAAGATTTGAAAAACATGGTATATAATGGCTAATTCGAACTGAAAGCTTTTGATTGCCTCCTTGGGGCAATGTGTTAGTTTGCCCATATTTCAATCCAAATAAGCTGAAGGTTTACTGAAATCTGTTCTCATAATACTAAACTAAGGACATGGCATTCAGAATTTTTTTTAACTTCAACTCTCAGAATTGTCCAAGAATTCCAGAATACACATCTACAGACATATATATTTCAGTCTCCTGGATCAGAGGGTTGTCTCAGAAAGTGCATGGCCTAGCTCTGGCCCACTTCCCAATGTTAATTTAAAAAAACCAAAACTGTTGCAGTGCTTCCTGGGAACTGTAGTCCTACTGCCCTTTAGGCTCTGTGTCAGGTTTCTCGTGAAGAACTACAATGTCCAGGAAATACCACAGCAATTTCCTTTTTTTGTACGTTAACAAAACAACAGAAAGTAGGCCAGAGTTAGGCCATGCAGCCTCTGAGACAAGGCCTTGTTCCAGGTGAGCAAAATGTAAGTGTGAATTTGTGGCCTAGAACTCCCAGAATTCTGCCTAGGAATTCTTGGGAGTTGAGAGTCCAAAAACTCCAAACGGTACATCCCTACTGTTTTTAGAATCTTTTATTTAGAATAAAAGATATGCAGTATGTTCGGGAAATGGTGATCCGATTTCAAAAATCACCATGAGCATATTAAAGCTCTTGGAAAAATATTAGTATTTCTCCAACAGGCATCTCCAGTAGCAGTTCCAAGTGCCACAAGGGAATGAATCTGAGACGATCAATAGATGGAATGCTACAATGGCATCCATTAATCATACACTGAGATTATTCAGTAGTATAAAGACTTCTATGGTTTCTCTATGTGAAAGGCAAATCACGTGTATTCACCATGCAGTGCACAACCCTCGTTAATCTTAATTCAAGAGCTCTTTCTTGCAACTGACATAGAAAGCATCACCAACATACATCTTACATTATTGAAGCTTACTGGCATTCAGATATGAATGGATATGTTGCTTTTCCTCTGCAATGTCAGGATAATTTACAGTTGACTTTGAGGAACAGCATTTTCATTTTTCCTACTTTTGACTGAGTATAATTCATTTCTGGGCACTAATAACAAAAATGAAATTAGTTAAAATAAAGAGTTACTACGTAACTTTTGCAAAATAAATAAATGTGATGTTATGCGATTATTAATGTATTTCACAAACAAAAAGTAAAACTGCTAAGCAGTGAGATTACACTGAGTGCAAAGATGTTCCATATACAATGTATGCCATCACCTCCTCAGGTATTTATTAACATCTACTTTGAAACTGCAACCAATCTATGTTAAAAGAAAGATGGTCACAGCTTCCAAAAGAATCAAGGAGAAATATAACGGATTAGGAATAAAAGTGACATATGCAAGCTTGAAAAATTTCCTCACATTTAGCCACAGATGCCAGTAAATGAAAAAATAAATAAATATTGGGCCTATCCGATACTCATGTTACAAGACACTCTCCCAGAAGCAATAGAGTGGGGAATAGTACAGGTGCCATACTTACCATTCAGTCGGGTCTGTCTATTTGCTCTCACTCGCAGGAAGGTCTGAGAGGAAAAGACAAGAACAAAGGAAGCATTAGGATCTTCCTAGTGAAAAATAATAAAGTTTTAAACTCATTCTGAGAAAAAGTTTGGTGGGCAGCAGGGATGATATAAACACATAACACTGCCATGCATCTTATGAGTTCCCATTTTGGGGGCTGCTTCCCTTTTCCATTTACCAGTTCAAATCACCATTAAAGTTTAATAGTCCTCACAAAACTTTCTCAAATGTAAGCATGCCCACCTTTCTTCACATAGAGCTAAAGGACCTTCATATAAAAAAAAAATACACAACCCATCCTAACTTCTTGGGCAGTTCCACATCCTTCCACTCTCATAAGCCCTAAGACGACAAGAAAGGCTACAACCTATTATCAAATGTTAATATAGCTGTATGTATATTAACAATCTTTCAAAAGACTGTTGTATGTATATTGAAACAATCTTTCAAAATGAGCTCACTTTAGCCAACACTTTCCAGACACCAAAGGAAAAAACTCCATCCTATTGACTCACTTCCACATTCGTGTAAATAAAACCCGTCCTACCTGGTCCCTAGTGGGGGCCGTTCTCGGCTCACACGAAAAGATTCCCTCCAAATTTACCACATGTAAAGACCATTCCTACTCTAAGGAATGATAGCCCAACCCCCGCAGGTCGGATGTAAACAAGCCCCATTTCTTCCCCTAGATATAGCTGGCTCCAGCCCCAGAGATGCCCCGGCCCCACAGACGCGCCCTGTCTGCACCTCCTCCCGGCCACCGGGTTCCCTCCTCTCGCTCTGCATGGCCGGGGATGAGGGCGGATACGGGCAACGGCCCCGGCACCTGCACTCAGCTCCCTGCAACAGCGGTCGCCGCCATATTAGCTGCGATCATGTGACGAGCCGTCGCGGCCTGCGTGAGGTGAGAGTTCAGGGAGAGGAAGTTGTTCTCATGGCAACGGAGAAACCGGCCGCTAGCTGAACCGGGGTCTTTCCGCCAGAACGCTGCTTCCTTCACACCACCTACTCTAACTCAGTGCACTGCTGCAGGATACCTACCCAAGCCCTTCCAATTATAACAGCAGTCATGACAGCCTGGACTCCAGAAACACAGACGCCTGATCCCCGTCCCCGTCCATTAGCAACGGGAATCAATCCCCCCTTCACTGTTTATAGTTCCCACAGAGAAGACTGAGAAACTTCCTGCTCTTATCCGCAAAAATAAAATTTCCCCATGATGAAAAGGACTTGTGTAATTTGGAAAGGGGTATGAAAGGGAAAAATCCACCTATTTATATATTTTATTTTTAATGTATATATATTTAAGTGACCTTCATTCACGTGGTTGACTTGGTAGTACAATCAAAATTATCATACAATATGCAATAAATGTTTACAAAATTCTAAATTTTGTGTGGGCCATTTGCAAAGAACACAAATATACATGGTAGGAGGGGAAAATGCATTTGTGTGTGCTCTTCCCCAAGCAGACAGAAGTTCCAAAGCAATTACTTTCTAGGAAATGTTTCTCCGGAGAAGGTAAAAAGGTTCCCCTTGACAATTTTTGTCCAGTCGTGTTAGACTCTAGGAGGCGGTGCTCATCCCCGTTTCCAAGCCATAGAGCCAGCGTTTGTCCGAAGACAATCTTCCGTGGTCACATGGCCAGTGCGACTTAGACACGGAACGCTGTTACCTTCCCACCGAAGTGGTCCCTATTGAGCTACTTGAATTTGCATGCTTTCGAACTGCTAGGTTGGCAGGAGCTGGGACAAGCGACGGGTGCTCACTCCGTCGCGTGGATTCGATCTTACGACTGCTTGGTCTTCTGACCCTGCAGCACAAGCTTCTGTGGTTTAGCCCACAGTGCCACCATGTCCCTCCGGAGAAGAGAGTGCTAAAAATAGAGTGGCTACTTATGCTCATTATACACTAAGAAAGGAGATGCCAAGGACTGCAGTAACTATAGGACCATTGTTTTAATTTCCCCATGTAAGCAAAGTGAAGCTTAAGATGGTGCAAGACCTTATTTGGAGTGAGAAATGCCTGATGTTCAAGCTGGATTTCAAAAAGGAAAAGGCACTCCATATTGCTAGCTACTGGAGATCAAAGAGTTTAAGAAGATCAGTCTATGGCCTTCGACTGTGCAGATCATGAGAAACTACAGATTGTTCTGAAAGAAAAGGGTGTGCCTCAGCACTTGATTGTCCTGATGCATAACTTGTATCATGGACAAGAAGCTACTGTTAGAGACAGAATGGCTTCCTATGGGCAAAGATGTCAGACAAGGGTGCATTTTATGCTCTTCTCTGTTCAATCCATAAAAAAAGAACTGGATTAGAATCAGATTAAGGAGGAGTGAAAACTAGTGGAAGAAACATCAATAATTCAAGATATGCAGATAGCACCACCTTGCTGGCAGAAAGCAGCAACGACTTACAACTTCTTTTAGAGAAAGTAAACAATTAAAGTACCAAAGCAGGAGACAAAAATCATGACTACAGAAGAACCACACAACTTTAATTTTAACAATGAAGAAATTGGAATAGTTAGAGATTTTGCATATCTTGATTCAATCATCAATACAAATGAACACTACAGCCAAGAAATCAGAAGATGACTGAGACTCAAAGGGTAGCAATTAAGGAATTAGAAAGCATCATCAAGTGTAAGAATGCATCACTGGAGACCAAGATCATCCACACTCTTATATTTCTGATCACCATGTATGAAAGCTGGACACTTAAGAAAGCTAACAGGGAAAAAATGATTCATTTGAAACAAGGTGCTGGATGAGAGCTTTGTGGTTATCCTGAACTGCCAGAAAGACAAACAAGTGGCTCCTACATCAAATCCAGGCTGAACTATCTCTGAGGGCAAAAATATGCTGAGGCTGTCCTACTTTAGGTACATCATGAGAAGGCAAGATTCTCTGGAAAAGACAATGATGCTGGGAAAGGTTGAAGACAGCAGAAAAGAGGAAGAACAAATACAAGATGGATTAACTCTAATGGAAGCCACAGGTTTGAATTTACAAGAGCTGAGTAGAGCTGTTGAGGACAGGACATTTTGGAGACTGATCATTCATAGGGTTGCCACAAGTCAGAAGCAACTTGATGATATGTAACAACTACTACTTCTTACATCTTGCCCAGTATTGCACTATTTAATTTGCAGTAGTGTCTCTGATTTAGAATAAAGGAATGGCTGGTGTTTTTGGCCAGGAATGCTAGGAAGACATACTGTATTTGTCCCAAAATACAAAATCATAAGTGAAATAAAAACTATGTCTTAATGGTCATATGTACACATCTATGGAGAGATTTGTACAAAGGAGATGAGAGGCTTTAGAAAGGGAATTCTTGAGGTCCTACATTATTGGCATTTTGAAATTATATCCCACAATTTCCCCAAAAAGCAAATCATGGACTATTATTTACCAAGGACTTGGTAGTGGAAGATAAAATTCAGCTGTTCAAACTGTGTAGAACTATAAACCACAAAAGCTCACAATGTCTGAAGCTAGGGCACCTTACTTTTTCAGTTGACCTTTTGTGTGGCCTGTATCTCTAAATAAAAGTTTCATTACCTGGGGTCTTAAGAATGCTCTCAAATAAAGTCAGTCAGAAAGCATTAGCAGTTGAGCAATGGATGAGAAACTAGAATATTTTATACACACATTATAACTGGACAAGGGCAATCTGTCTTGATAACAAATTGCTTTTATATCTGTTCAGACAGACATACCACTTGTGCAGGAAGCTATGTGTATCTTGCACACTAAAATGCCATCCAGTAAATTGTTTGGAATGTGTAATCTATGAAAACACGGCTTCCCACCCACCTCAAGTGTGTTCAAAATATAATTGTAAAAGAGGAAAAACAACAAGTGGTCAATATGTTTCAACTTTTATAAACTCTGAAACACCAGCAATCCTGTCAAAAGTTAGTAGAAGTATTTAGCTCCTGAGAACTGGAGCTCCCTACAGGGACAAGATGAACAAAGAAGTCTTACCAAATGTAAAATGTTAGTGGACAAAATAGTCATTATTTTATTGTTTAGACATTGAAGTCACAGTCAGTGATTGCAAGAATAATAAATCTATAGAATAGTCTTCATCTAGACTTCCAGGGTCTATATCCTGCAAAGACTCGAGATAAGTTATTCACTTTGATCCCATTAGCAATCCTACTGAAGCTATCAAAACCATCCAAGTGTTTAAAGCCAAACATGTGTGACAGTGCTTCAGACCTGAGACCTAAATTGCTAAAGTCTGCAGAACTTTTAAAAACCTTAAGCCTCTTCAAATGCTTTCTCCTAAACCTTTGAATTATTTCAATATACTAGATGTTTCCTTATTTTCTTTCACAAAATCTAGTTTGCACAGCATGCAGGAAAACAACACCCACCTTAAAAAAGGGAAGGGGAGGAGTAATACATTTGGGACCTTAAGAGATAAGATTTGGGTGGGCTCTGCATCCCTGCATTTGTCTAATGTTTATTCTTTTTTGCTTGTACTGATACTTCTCTATTTTCTACATCTGTCTTTGAAGGTGGTACCTATCATGCAAACAATTTACTGAGCCCAATTCTTTGATAAAATTACTGTTATCTGGCTCATGTAAGCACGTGTGCTAGTATTAGTTCTGCTTCCACTGAATTTACTTAATTGTAAGTCATTATACATTAAAATTAAAATAAATAGATACAGAAATAGGCATTCCAGTTTTAGAAGAGGAGAAATTTAAATATTTGAATCTCCTTCAAATTTCTGCTTTCGATTTGATTCCTAATTAGCACTTATGTATATAAAGATTACATTGCCATTAAAATACACAGCAAATACCTTGTACATGTCACAAACTGAAGTATGAATTAAATACTTTACATTTTACACGTTAAGATAGACCAGAGGCAAAAATAGAATTAAAGTACGCATTGTCAAGGTTCTGAGAACAGAGGAAGGAAAAGGTAATTTTTGCTTTAAATGAACTCTCAGCTGGCAGCTTCGTTCTAGTACAC